GGGGAAAAAAACAAGCAACAAAACAGAACTCAAATGAAAAACAAACAAACAGCAAAGGAACACAGCAAACAAATCTCTGTAGACAGATTCAAGAAGAGAGTTTGAAACAAGGCAGCTGCAAATTCACAGTACACACGAGGCTTGTAGTCATTTCCAAAACTTTCCATTGCTGGTGCAGGTGTGGTGACAGTCACCTCCCTTCCACACAGCTGGGGCAACACCAGTTACCTGCATGCCTCTTACACACTGCTTTCCTAAAAGCCATGTGGGATAACAGAATGGTGCTGGCTTGCTGCAATGAGCACTCACCCCATGCTGGAGTGAGGGGGATGCTCTAGTGGCCTTAGGGCAGCCACAAAGGGGAAGCCCTGAGAGATGTCATCCTTGAAAAAAGGCTGAGCAAAACCGAAGTACATGACCAAGAAAGAGCAGGTCGCAGCACGGCATCTCAGAATTGCATAGGGAAAACGGAATGAGGGTCCTGAGCATAGCAGACTCCAAACAGCATTCACTGCATGATTCCTTCTTGGCTTAAAGGCATCAACTTAGCCTCTCCCCTGGACTCTTCCACCTGAATAATGTGAGGAAAATAATATTGCCTTAAGAAGCTGTAAATATATAGGTAACTCAGAAGGAGGAGGTTCAGTAGAAGCAGGACCTCTGAGAGCAGCAGAGGGACACTGTAAAGGACCCCTGAGCTGAGAGAATGCCTTCCCCAGGGCGACTCCAGCAGAAAATGAAAAAGCCTGGAAACAGAAGGTGCCTGGCCACCACTGGCTTGCAGCAGGGAGTCCTGAACAGCACCTCTCTCATAGTGCTGGACCTAGGGAGGGAGAGGCAGGCAAGCTGGTGTCTCAGGGCCTGGTGAGCATGGGATACGTGACCCCACGTGTCAGCTTGAATTAAGGCAAGGAGCGCCACTGGGCCTCGCTGCCCAGCACTCCCCTTTCTCTGGACCTGGGAAGGAGAACTGGGGCTGTGCAATAAGCCCAGCTGTCAGATCCTCCTACATCATCTGCAAAGCCATCGACCCTCTCGGGACCTTTGGGAGGGAAAAAATAAATAAGACCCAGAATGCATACTTACAAAAAGCCTACTCTATTTTTTTGTTATAAGATTTCACTGTGTTCTGCTGTTCAGGAAAAGTTCTCCCACAGAGAGTGCAGATGCAAAGGAGGGGAAAAGAATGGCAGAATGATCCAGGTTTTGAAGAAAAAAAGCACAAAGGGTCGTCTTCCACTAAGATGGAAAAGAAAGGTGCAAAGCCAGCAAAACCTCTGTCTCCCTGATGTGCTAAGGACTAGGGCCAGATTCTGTGTTGATGGAATATGAATCTGATAACTGAGGTTTACAGGAAAACCTCCCACAGTGCCTTAACATGGTGCCATAACAACCTCCCTGGCTAGAGAAATCTGCACAGAAGGGTAAGCACTTCCTGTGCCTCCTTTATTTGCTATTTATTTCTAGAACTGCGGACCAGTACAGAGTTTAGCTTATCAGTTAATCCTTAGGATATGTACTGACTTCAAGCATATCAGTCTCCAAGATGACTACCCTCTGGACTTCAACTTAGAAGGAAACCTTTACAAAACATCAGCTCAACAGGGCAGGAGAGTTTCTCAGGCTGTCTAGCTTTAAATGCCAGGCATACATTTTTTCCTATGAGGGTGGCAAAGCACTGGTGCAGATTGCCCAGAGAGATTGTGGAGTTTAATATGATTCCACATATATGATAAAATCTGCTTCTACACAGCTTTATAAATAGTTTTAGTGCACATATTTGGTGTGTTTAATTCACTTCTTTACTGTGTTTTAGTACCTGGCAGAATTTGAATATAAACATTTAATTTCATTTATTGCTATATATGATAATTCTATAAAATCCCTTTCTAAGCCAGAGTATCAGTGTCACTCTCATCTGTGAAACTCCTTGCTATTGTCAGTGACCCATTTTTAAACACAGGTTTAACCTTCAGTCTATGATCTCACAACCTCAGCTATGCCTAGACTTATTCTGTACAAAGAAGGTGTAAACACTTGCATAAAAATAATGTAGTCACATCCAAATTGTTGGATTGAAATGAGGTGTAAAAACAGTAGTTAACAGTGCTTCATATATGGAACTAATTTTACAACAGCCTCAAATTAAAAAGCGGGTGGGGACTGAGAAGTGTCTTGATGAAAAATGCTGATTCAAGGCTTCATTTCTATTCAGTGATGTACAGTGTCATTACTGGGTGGCTGCACAGAGCAGTGGCTCAGAGTAATTACCCTGTAATGCACACTGACACTAATGCACTAGTAAACTACTGCAGTTTATACTCTATTCACCACCAGCGTCAGGACTCTGAAAGGCAGGTAAAAATCCCCTGCATGCATAAACAATGTGTGTAAATGTCACCAGTGATAAAATTTTTAAAAAGGAGAAGGAAGAGGCAGTTACAAATAAATCTGTCAGCTGAGAATTGCAACTGCTTAGACCCACAGGAGCACTAAAGCTGTATCTTTTCTTGATAACACAGGAAGGAAATACGTTTCTCTTAAAGCATCCTACCCCAGTTCTGTTTCCATTTATTACAATTAAAACTGTATGGTGGCTGCTTCTTTTTGCCACTCTGAGTGCAAGGCTGGCCTGCACCTGGTGTTCAGCTTAATGCAAGGGGAAGCATGAGGGGAAATGAAGAGCATCGAAGGAATAGCCAGAAACATTAGTGGTTTACACTGACTGTCATAATGCTGCTCTGGTTTTAGAGATCCAGCTACAGGAAACGTGGAGGAACACAAGCTTAAGGACAGGTGCTTTTGACTCCTTTAATACAGCTCTTGTGGTTATGGGATGAAGCTTGGAACATGACCCAAGCATGTCCTAAGGTGTCAGAAAAAGCAGACAAACAAAAAGGAATCTTAAGCCTAATATACTTAAGGGGAAAAAAAATAAATTACAGTACTCTAATGGATTTTGGATGCTGAGACTGGGAGTGACAGAGCTACATACCCCACATCCCAAGGCCAGAGGAAAGCCTTGCTCTTCCCCAGGAGACAGTATCAATTACTACATTTTTAACAGTCCCTAGTCACCAGCTAATAGATTGATGCCTCCAGAGCTGGCTTTCTCTCTGTCCCTCTCCTATTAAGTTACACAAGAGTATTCAAGTCCTTTTACCAGTACACAGCAGCAGAAGTATGAGTCCTTCCACCATGAGCAGCTTCTTCTTTAAGATCGCTCAACTAGGAGGGTGGAGGCCCTGGTGAAAGCTGTCAGTGTAGCAGTTCACGTTGGATAAACTCTATTTTACCCTCTCTGCAATCACTGCAGCTGTTCTGCCTGACCCACTTTGCCCTGCTCTGGTGGCACTGCCATTTATCTTGCTGAGGTGGCTCTGCCCTCGTGAACGGCAGATCACTGAAGAGTTTTTGTTAGTCTTTAGCTCTTTCAGCTTGGAGAAAGCAAGACACAGGTTCTCTCTCTGCTGCTTCCAGCATCCTTCAATCTTCTACAGTCTGTTCAGATGCCAAGGCAAGGATTTACACTGACCTATTCTAAGTAAGCTCTGATTCATCACCACAATGACAGAAGGTCCTGCAAGTCATAACCATCTCTGCCTCACTGGAGTGCTCTGCTATAAAAGCCAGGTAGTAAATTTTACCACAGAACTGGAAGTTTTCAAATGACTTAGAAGAAGCTGACGATCTCAAATGCACATGCCAAATCCCAGGGTAGTTCACTTAAAGCTGAATGGAGGATGTGGACTGGCAGGAGATTGTACACAACCAGCCTGACTCATGGCAAGACCAGATTAGGAGAGAGGACTGTGAATCTGGCATCCTCACACCACCCAGCACATGGTTCCACTTTGCATTTTTCAATTAAGAATAGTTAGAGAAACATGTACAGGCACAAACACACAGCAAGAGCCTTACAGTGTTGTGGCAGAATGGCGATCATCACCACACAGGTCAATTTGGTACTCTTTCTGCCACTGTAGCACCTTTGAAGAGTGGGAAAATGGGGAAAAAAACCCAAACCTAAGGTATAGAGTATCTCCATGCACACTTTGGCTGTTCTCTTCCTCCCCTTCTCTTATCCCACAACATTCCCTGGGTTTGATGTTCATATACACTTGCAGAGTTGACCAAGAAATACCAAGAAATATCCCTTCATATTCCTGTATGATTTTTGCTTTGCTATTATCTATTCCAAGAAGAACAAGCTATTTACTTCAATGTCATACCTGAATATTGACCAGCCTAACCAAAAGGGGCAAAGAGAGGTGTAAGAAGTCTGTACCACCACATATGCCTGCTCATTTCCCCAGACATCAGAGGCAAACACTGGGGGATCAGCGTGATCCTCCAAGTGGGGCAGAGAAATCAAGGACTCACATTTATATTGCTGTATTTGCACCATTCAAGACAGGCACCTGTCTTAGCAGGGCTATTCTGAACTTATTCTGTACATACTGACTACTAGCATCGCTCCCAAGGGCAATCAGCCCACCTAAAATTTGAATCATCCTCTATGATGAACATCTCCTCACCAAGTCTAGAAAAAAACCCCTCAAGCAACAGCAGTGAGGACTGAATCCAGGCTTGAACCACTGTACAACCCATTCTGTAACCTTTACCCACCGGAGGGGCAGCTGAAATCTGCCCTTTTGCATTCTGCCATCAGCTCCCTGTGCCTTTGCACTGCCATTAGGAAAGAAAGGTGCAAGGCAGAGAGCAGGACCTAAGGTGTACCTGTCCCTGCAGGAGTAAACTAGTGGGGAGAGCAAACCACCCTGTGAAGTGATGGGATCTTCAAAGCTATGTAATGGGACACGTGGGACACGGGCATCTCACGCACGTCTCTCCTGCTGGAATTAATTTGCTCCCCAGACTGTCCTTGGATGGAGGGTGACAACTTGGCCATGGAGGCTCAGTGAACAAGTGAGTGATGTCCACCCAAGCCTGTGGCTGGTTTGGAATGCAAGTGAATGGAGACTGTCCCACGGACTCACCCTTGGATGGCGGTCTCTCCAGATCCGAATCCAGGTGGATCGGTGGGGCAATGTAGGAAACCTGCCCATGGTGAGCCTGCCCTGTGGACAAATAAGTGATTTAGTTCCGCTGTTTCCTAGAGATCTATCAGGGCTATAGTCAAATACACAGCATTTGGATTAAAAACAGGTTCACAAGTATTTGTTCTGTGTGTTTTTCACAATGCACTTCCATTTTGTGGAGGCACCTGGCAACAAGCTGAAACCACTGCCATCTCTCACTTTTTCCTTGCAGACACAAGTACTGTGGTGAACTTTAGTTACACCTGCTTTACCACTACTATGTATACTTTACACCATGTTCTCTTGAAACCTGTTCACTCTCTGTATGCATGCTATAGAAGAGAACCCAATTTCACACAAACCCATTCAATCTGTCAATCTCACTTTAAGAGGGAAAAAAGCATTCCTATGTCACAGCCATTTTTGAAGGAAGCATGGTATGAAGCACAATCCCACCTGTTTATCCCACCTGCAGGAGACACACATCATTTTTCAGAGCTCAGTATTGCTTTCACATGAGTGAGAGATTTTTTGGTTCCCAACACCATCATGCAGTTTCTCAGTTGCTAAAGACTCAATCCTTCTCCAGCAATTTGGAGGTAACTATATCAAGAAACTTCTATTTATAATAAAACCATTTTTTTTATAATTCATCTATTTACTGTACCAATTTACAGGGTTGTTAATCTCTTCTTCTAAACATGGAAAGTTAATGACACACAGATTATGATAACAGTTAGAGTAACCTTCCCATTTCAAGTAATATTCGTTCTGCAATAAAAGCAGTTGATTCCTCTTAAGAGACACATTCCAAATAATTAATACAGCTCCCTGTTGATGCTTGCTGTTGTTGCTCCAAGCTATTTCCAACCTAGCGTCACAGGCAGAGGAGCAGCAGTACAGTCTTCAGGCTTCTTTGTAATGACATCCAGGAACACCACAAGCACAGTATGCTGGTGCACATAATATGTTGAAAACATCTCTTCAGGGAGATAAAATATTAATGAGAAAGGGGAGAGGAAAAAAAAAAAAAAAAAAGGAAGTGTATCTGAATGTGCAGGTTATATTTACTGCTTTACACTGAGGATGACTCAGATAATTTGCATTATTAGCCATTACAACAACTGGACGTAATTCAGGTTTAAAATCTACCGACACATCATAAATTCTGTATTTGCTTTTAAGTGCTTTAACATGGGAAATCTGCTTCAGGCGAACCCATAGCAAATAACAAGTGACTCTGCTTTCCTCTTTTCATTTACATGTTAAAAATCCATTTGATGTCATTAGTGAGCAAAAGCCATCATTTAATAGCTGCTCAGTTCTGCAGCAGAAACAAGCAGACGGTCTGCTCTCACTCCGAGCTGCTCAGTGTGCAGGATGATCAGTGCCCTTATAACCACAGAACAGTCTCCCCATTTGCTGCATCAAAGATACCACTGAAATGTAAAATAGCTGAGCTTGGCAGGAAACTCTGGAAATCACCTAACCCAGCTCAAGGGCAGCAAGAGCCCACAGCGAGTGTCCAGTCTGATTTCCAATATCTCTAAGAATGAAGACTCCACAATCTCTCTGGGCAATCTGCACCAGTGCTTTGCCACCCTCATAGGAAAAAAAAAAAATAAAATATAAAAGCTTTTCCACTATCTGCCTGTAAGAAAAGCCTGGCTCCATCTTCTTTATTCCCTGTCATCATGTACTTAGACACATCAGTAAGATCCCTTGGATGATCTGGTCCAGGCTGGATACTCACAGCTTTTCAACCCATCTCCACAAAGAGATGCTTCAATCCCTTTATGATATTATGGCTCATTGCTGGACTTGCTCTGGGCACACTGTTGACACAGGGTTTTTTTTTGTTTGTTTGTTTTTGTTCGGTTTTTTGTGGGGTTTTTTTTGGTTATTTTTTTTAATCACCTGGACTTCCTGGGAGCAAACCAAAAAAAGAATGATTCTGGAGGCTTAAAGGGCTAGGCTGGAGTAAAGAAGATACACCCACATTATATGAAAGACTAAAAAACATCTGTGAGTTTGTTTAGACATTCATTACAATTCAGTAATAACTATGGAAGCTTATTATTGCTTTATTAAGGCTTTTACTTTGTATGGAGGAAGCAGTAGCATCAAATGCTCTCTAGTGATAAATGAAACAAGTTGCAGAAAGCTTTTATCTATTTGCCGCTGAAGCTAAACATAGTACTTCCAAAAAGAAAAAAAAAAACCAAACTTCTGTTACTACTACTACTACTACTACTGACTGCTATGTACTACTAATAAAAAAGCAGACTTCTGTTAGGCTGCACACTTCTCACAGTGCTAATAAATCAAACTTTGCATTTTAATATTCCTTCTCCAAAAAACGCCATGCAAACAATTCTTGTGATTCATTTTCTGTGCATGAATGCCAGCTCACTTGTTCTTCAGACTCATCAGAGTGTTCACACTGGAGAAAAAGAAGGGTCTTCACTGTTACCTTATAAATCTTTTTAATCAATAGAATCATATTTCTGCTTTGGTTTTACTATTATTGCCAGTGGTGACCTTTGAGTTAGTTGAGGGAAGAGAGGCAAGGGGAGGTGTCTGAAGCAATGGAACTGGTACACAAGCACGTGTTTTTTTTGGCTTTAACAGCATTAAAAGTGCTGCTACTCACTCAGTTAAAAACCAAAATTTTACCCAATGGACTTCTGAAAGGTTTTGAGACTGGTATCACAGGTACAGCTCAAGCTGATCTCAAAGACTGATAGAACGGGTTTTCCCAAGTGAGGCCAACTCCCAGTCCCTGTGGAGTGAGTTTTGCAGTTTCAGATGCTTACTGCAAGCCCCAGCCCTAGGAATGAGGGACTCCTATCTCCCTCTCTTCAGTTCCAGCTACTGTAGAAAAGCACTTTAAAAGATGGACATGAGAGCCTTAAAAGAAAAAAAATAAAAGGCAGAAACATTCCAACACTCCACACCTGTCTCTCCAATCCTTCAGCTGTTTTCTCTGCACATTGAGACTGAGCTGACAGTGGTAAAGGAAAAAGAAAGAAGACTTCTGACAAAATAGCAAAGGTCAAGATGTCTCTGTTGCTGACGGGGATATGTGCCTTGTATCGAAACAGATTGCATGGCCTTCTCCCAGTCCCACCCTGCCTATACCCATCTGCTCTTTCTGCAGCCAGCTCCCCGGTAAAAAAGTAAACAGCAATCAAATGTAATCATCAAAGTAATGTTTGATGAAGTTGCCAATTCTGTACCCGCCAGCTCAGGTTGTGTTCCATTTCCTTTATCCCTCTTGCCTGGAGAGGCCTGTGCCTATGGCTCCCTGTGAGGGCTGATGCTGGAAGACAGCTGTGGATCATCCCTGACCTGCTTTTCTTACATCACAACACAGGGATGCAGGTCTGGCCAGCACTGCCTGAATATCAACACCTTATCAGGTGAGACAGGGCAAAGAGCAGATGTGGCCACAAACTAGCAGTCTTCATAGCAGCCAGGCCACCTTCATGGGCTGTGACAATGTGAAAAAAACAAACCCCATGTTTGGTAAAAACAATTTTGGGAGCAACAATATGGATATGACCTTGAAAGTCTATCTGGTGACATGCCTTCCTCAAGTAGAGGAAATGAGAAAGATGTTTGCGAATTAGAAAAAGTGCTTGACTGGCCATTATTTCCAGGTCTGACATATGAGTGATACAATGCATTTTAAAAAGCCAATAATTTAGAAGAACAAAGATAATGTTTTGTGAAGACTGAAGGAAACATAATAGCTTGGCCTAAGGGATTTTTTTTTACTTTTTTTTTTTTTAAAAAAAAGGGGATGCTCATAGACAGAAAATAAACATCCACACATCTTCAAAAATCTGCCCCTAAGTGATTTTATCATCTACAGATGCAATGATATAAAACTACAGAAAAAATCTGCAAATGCATGGACTAACCAAGAAAAGTAGCAACAAAGAAGTCTCATCTGTGTATCTATTTAAAACCACTTCCTCCTGATCATTTTTGGAAGCATACCTACTGTTTGCAGCACCCTAGAGGGCAGGCCTTCCTCCTGATCCTAGGCCAAATTTCCAGTTCTGGTGATATTTGATTTTTCTACAGCACAATGCTTATCGTCATATGTGCACATGGGAAATTTTTCTGTCTTGCCCCTGTTCATTTTCTACCCGAGATTTTCCAGTGCATTATGGAGAAAGCCTGAATAAAAAACACAAGACTGAAAGATTCAAGCCCCCAAAAGCAAAGGAAAAAAACCACCAAGATTTACCAGGCTAAAAATAAGGCTTTTTAGAACATTTGATGACTTGTCTCCTGAAGTCCTGGTGATGCCATGAAGATAACCACAGTGACCTGAATGGATGGCTCTCCCTTTTCCCTGCTGCTCCTTTGCTCAGTGCCCATGGTGGGTATGGACAGTCCTGCACCTGAATTGCAGTTCTGCCTCACACCTGACTCAGATCCAGCAGCAGCAGTGAGAAGCCACCAGGAGATACATTTTTTTTAAACAAACATGCTTCAGACTCTTTGTTCTCAAGGGATGAGAGTCTCCTTTCTTTGCTGTCCTTATCCAGAGGCAATCACTGCAATGCATTTTTTTTTTTTTGGCTGTCATGTCAGATTACTCAGATTTCCACCCATTTTTCCAGCCTCTTTTAGCATTCTTTTGTCTTCCACAGGTTCACCAGCTCCCAAGATCCTTTTTAGACAACCTAGTCAGCATTTCATGCAGAGGATTTAATTTAATTTCGTGCTGGTATCTCTGATGATCCGCATTCCCAGGTACTCTCCTACACCTCTTCTTGTCTGCACCTCTGAATGCAGGCACCTCCATGGATTTAATCCCTCATCTGTTAGTCCATTTGCTTGGATCATTAATTAGTGAATACTCATGAAACCACACATCCATTCCTGAGCCTTTGATTTCAGTTCTTTAAATATTTTTACTTTTTTCTTTTTATTAACAGTAGGATGGACACATACTAGGTATGCAAAATACATATTCTGAGGAAAGGTCTTGGAAAACATAATGACTATTTTACTAATATCTC